TATACGCCCGGTATCGAGTATCTGGGAGACAACAGTGTATCAGTACCAGGATTAGTCGGTATCGCTGCGATCCGAAAGGGTTGCCATATTCACGGTTTTATGTAAAAAATTTTTGGGGTGACTTGGCTTGGTTCTCGAAAATTTGGTTGGATTTTACATTTGTTCTTTCAGATTTGTAAGTGTTCGAACAAGCATAGAAAACTTGAAAAGAATACTTGATCCGTTAGGGATACATGCAACGATCATGAATACTCAACAGCCCACTAATATGTTATATGTCTTATGTAACATATGACTTGTGCAATTGGTGAATGTCATCTGCGATTCGAAAGGGTTGCAATATTTTGTGAAAATTTTTAGGAGTAACTTGCCTCTGTTCTTTCAGATTTGTAAGTGTTTAAACGAGCAAAAAAACGAAAAGAATACAAGACCCGTTAGGGATACATGCAACGATCCAACACCCAACAGTCCAATACACGTCTTATGGAACATATAACTAGCGCAATTGGTGGATGTCATCTTCGTTGGAGATAATAATCGCAATCCACCCCGCTTTCAAGCTGACAGTCCTGATTGTGTCACTTGTAAGCGGGCGCTGTTGTACGTATTTCACGATCGAACGTATCGACTTTGTCACCAGAAAGGGGGATTACAGTAGATCGTTCGCAATACATCGTGTGAATATTGTTACTTGAAAACCGGGAATTACTGCAGATTATTCGCGATCCTGCGTGTTAACGCTGTCACTTGAAAGCGGTCTCCGCCGTATATCATTCCCGATGCATCGTACCGATTTCGTCACTCGAGTGCGGAAACTAGTATACATCATTCGCGATTCATTATTGCTGGAGATCGTTCGCGATACATCGTGCCACTTTTGTCACTCGAAAACTGGAATTACCGCGAATCGTTCGCGATTGAACGTACCGATTTTATCGCCAGAAAGAGGAAACTGCTGTAAATCGTACGTGATACATCGTAACGATTCTATCACATGTAAATGGAAATTACTGTAGATCGGTAGATACCGTAGAAATTACTGTAAATGGAATTTCTATGTATCGTTTCGACTTTATCGTACTGATTCTGTCGCTTAAAAACGGTAATAAAATCGATTTTATCGCTAGAAAGTGAGTGCTCTTCTAAATCGTTCGCGATACATCGTGCCGATTTTGTCGCTCGAAAGTGAGAATCGCCGTGCAAACGATATCGATAATTCGAAATGACTCGTTGACCTTCGAGTTATCGTTTCGAAAGAGCACTTTATGGAAACGCGCGCACTCAAGAGCCGTACCTTTTTCCACTGGACGAAAGTGTCGTTAAACATTTAACGGATAATAACGGAACCTTTGGCGAAAGGGGATCTATCGCGCTGTTAATTAATTAAAAGTGCAATATTGAAATAAAAATACTCGAGAGGATCAGCTGACGCGTGGTGCAGACCGTGGGCATAAAGCGTTACGTGACCACGAGGAAAACGCAATTCGTTATTCATGATGGAATTACAGCAAAGGGAAGCCGTTTAATCGATGCCGCATCGTTGTTACATATTTTCGACCTGAATTCTGATCTCCCTGCACCAACTTCCATGAACAAGTCGAAACTGGGCTTTTCAAATCAAACGAACCCCTATATTACGAAAAATAATTCTGTTCTGTGTAAAAAAGCAAGCAAATAAAGGAAAATTCTAGACAAACGTTGTTTCAAAAGAGAACAAGTTACTCCTTTCATTTTCTATTTAATCTTATTTAGTAATTAAACTATATATAGATAGAATTGACATTTACTTTACATATTATTTTAGTATTATATTTCCTCAGTATATTTATAATATGAGTAATATTATTCTAGATGCTTAATTTAATTTTTTACATACATTTATTACAAAATAAATTCAACACTCGGATCTTTAAATTTAGTTTAAAACAGGAAGTACAAAATAATTTAGTGTGTAGTTGAAGTGCTGTTATTGAAACCTAACTTCGTTTGTTAACAGCTAATGATCGTGTTTAAATGTTAATGAAAATTTGAAAATTCCCAACAATAGTGCTTGGAGAAATGTCGATGCAGAAAAGTACCGAACAAGTGCTTTAATTCTCATAAATTCCGTCGAGTATCGCCCACGCTGTCGCAGAAACACGCGTGTTACATAACACTTCGCGCCATGTTAAAGACCAGACTGTCAGGCGTTATAATCAATAACGAAATTCAATTAACAACAGCTCCCGCACGATTTTCGCAACAGTTTACTACCTGACACGATTACTTGAAATGTCGCGGTTACGTAACTCGAACCTTGGACTACGGGGCTCAAGAAATCTCTCTTATTCAATTTCTTTCCTTCGTGCAGCCCTTCGAAGCTTCAAAGTCTTGTGCAAAAGTGTATCAAAAGAATTACGACGAATTCGAAACATTAGTAACGTTGCACATTGAACCGTGCTCTTTTCTCGAAAAGGAAATTGAATTGCATCTGTTGAGTGTAAATAAAAGAAGAGAAATATATTCAATTTCTTTGAACTCTTCCATGGAACGAGGCACACGACTTCCGTGCTCATTGACATAAATCAACTTGTGGAACGCATTCAACACGTAGATCTAGCCATCCTCGCGTCGAAGTTCCACTTTGGAACTAAAAGACGTATTATTTTTCAAATCGCGACGGGTCATCGATAATGGGAATGCATTTCACCTTCGACACGTGTAATAGAAAATTTTATATAGTTATTCAGGAATTTGCAACATCGTTCTGAAACGACGAGTCGAGAAGTAAATACTCTTTTTAGAAACAACGAAAAATTAGTGGTCATCAGGAATCGCTTTGTGCATTGTAGATTATGACAAATGGTATTTTCGAACGTCCCTCCATTACTATTGGATAGATAACTTGTTTTAGCGCAAATTGAAGGTCCAATTTGTTCCGCAAACTAGTAGATACTTCGTACAACTCTATTTAACCTATTTGAACGATTGTCCTAGTTTACTGTTATAGAGTTTCTAGTTAACCTGACAACTTTCGTCCGAAGCAAGCAACTCGTTCGATTTAATAAAATTGCTTTATTATTATCGTTGATGCATTTAATTGTGATTATTGCCTTCTAACATTCGATAACTTTAGTTTTTCATATCCAACGAAACGCGAACATTCTGATTTTCCAGCCCCTCGGAGCGGGCATCGTTTAAAACAAGCCGTCGAAAAATTTCTCCTTTTGTTTTCGAACCACAAATGACAGGCTTAAAGCGATTCTAAAAGTATCACGAGCACTGCTGTTCTTTCGGAGGAACTTGACCCAAATGGGACACTAAAGAATTTCTGGATGCATGATTTTTCAAATTCCACTCGAAATAACCGACCGTCAATTTCAACATAATCGTCTTTTACGCTGGAACTACCGACAATTGTGTATTTATTTGTACCAAGGAAATTAAAACGATAGATATTTGAGGAAATGCATAATGCAATGGAAATAAATGTTTATTCTTTTTCTTATAAAAAATTGCAATAAATTTTCAAAAATCCTGTCGAGTATATTTTTTGCAATTTTTATTAGAAATTACTGTTGGGTTATTGTGACTGTTTTGGTAGTTTTAGTGTTAACCAGATCTAATTAATCATGAATATTTATCTAATGTGAACAATTCGTGGGTTTCTAGAAATTCTATGAACTCAATTTTACTTACTCAAAGTTTTCAAATTCAACTTTATACCTCGCTAACCGAGAAATCACCTGTTCCTCGGGAGATCCAGTGTGTCTGTGCATGGTTGGACTCGTGTATCTTTGTCGTCGTTCCTTCGAACGTGAAATCACGAGCAACAGTGTCCAAGAGATTCTAAAGCAGAGACAACATACTCTGCACCAGATTTGAATAAAAACCGAGGCCATTAGCTACAGAATGGCATCGTTCACAGTGCTGAAACTGTATTAGCAACGAAATCTCATTTTCTTCTGTACTTAATTCCTATTAAGGAAAACTTGTGCATCAAAATGGAGGCCAAGTCTAAAGTTTTCATCATCAGGTGTCTAACGAATTATTTTAGGTAAGTCATAACCTTGCAAAATAATAGAGGAATTCTGCAATTTTGATCGTTCCAAAAAATCTAGAAAAACATAAGATTTTATGACAACGTTCCGGAAACACTTACCTTACACAAATTTCATATTTCCTCGCGAGATCAAAGTTTTAAAACTACCCTCTCGACTACGACTACTACGACTATGGATCTATCCCAAAGCACCCACTCGTCAAACGACGCCAATAAGATGGCGAGACTTTCGATCAGATCGCATGCAACAGCCGCAACGTTCGAAACGGAACCGTCGACACCGAAATCCAAAATCTCAGCGTCCTCGTTTCGGGCGGAGGAGATTGCGAAACGTAAGCGGAAAGCGATTCCCAGCGAGCGACAGAAAGACCCCCCGACGAACGCTTTGTTCGTCAAAGGAACGTGACCTAAATGGGCTGGAGAGATAGAAAGAAGGGATCATTCCTCCCCTTTGCTTCGATCCACCCAAAGATCCGCAGTAAAATCAACGATCGGGCGGGTGTGTCGGCGTGGCGTGTGTGCGTGCGACGCATGGCCGTAATCCGTCGCCGAAACGAGGAAAATCATTAACGGGCGCCAGAAGGAGGCACGCGTTGTCCCGAAACGATATTCCCGTTCGACGTCGGTCCCACGGGGCACCAGGGGCTCGTGTTATCGTCGCGGCCGACTACCGCAATTTCTCTATAGCACAGCCAATCGGCCAATCGGCGGGTGTGTCGCCCCCGTGGCTCGACGCATGGCCAGACTCGGCGGAGGCCGAAGGTCGAATTTCTCGAGGGGGTAAAAATCCACCTTCGACGTTTTCTTTTACGATCGAGCGGGATTAAAGTGGTATCTGTACGAGGCAGGGCGTGGCAGATGCAAACAGAAGGGACCTTGGTGTGTCGTGGATGCTATGGATTTTAGTTTCCCCCCCACGTGGAATTTTCTATCTAGATTAGGCGAGGATCTTACTCACCGTGATAGTAAAGAGCACCAGAGGCGTTGAGAGGCGGTGGGCTAGGTGCGGTGGCACCAGCGGTAGGACTGTGGGGACCCCAACAGGTCTGCTGATGATCGACCTGTCTGCTGTCGGTGTCCCCGACGACGTCGATCTCCTCGTCTTCCGGCTCGTGCCTGTGCTGCCTCTTCTCCAAGGAGGCAGACGTCTGTATCTCATGGGTCTCGGTCGCGTGCTCCTGCACGAGGCTCGAGGAATCGGTCTCCTCCTGGGGGTCCTCGACGCGATCCGGCCACGGATAGGCCTTCCATTTCTTTGCCATGAGGCACCGCGGCATGCTGATGCAGTTGTACCTCGTCCCGGTCACCGTACGGTGATACGGCCACCAGGAGCCGATCGCCCGAAGTATCCCTGTCGCGGAACGCCGCTACACCACTACCGACACCCTCACCAACCGCACCAAACGCACCACCGTACCGATCGACGATCTCGAGGACGTCGACTACCGCGACGCCCAGCCCGTCGACGGCGTCGTCCGCGATGTCGCGACGCCGTCGTCTCCGTCGCCGCCGTCCGTCACCCAGCAGCGCCGTGCGTATCTGTAGCCGGTTTACCTCCCTGACGATCAGGGTGCCCGTGGACGGTGGCTGCCGCGGCTTCCTCTTCGTCCTTCCTTGCTCACGTTGGGGCGTGATCTGCAGCCTCGTCATCGGCACGGCGAGGGCAGCTCCTTCGTAGGATGCACCGCCACCATGCCAGCCTGGTTCGCACGGGGAGACCTCCTCGACTTTTCCGGCCTCGCCCCTCTCGCTAATATCGCGATCTCTTCGACTACCACTAGAACTACTGTACAGGGGTAGGGGGTTGGGCTACTACCGATTCCGGTCGACGCGGTTGCTCCTCGTTGTTCTTCCCTTTCTTGTTTCTCGACGCGACTTATGGCTGGCTGACCGAGTGGACCGTCCGACCGACTGATTGACTTGACCGTCCGTCCATTCGTCTGTCCGTCCGTCCGTCCGTCGAAATACTCTCTCGGTCGCTCCCTGTCGCGGCTCTCGCCTGTGACAGGGGGTGCCCTCGAATACGATCACGACGACGGGGTGCGACTGTTTAGTCGGTGGCGCTGCCGCTCCGCTGCTTATCCCCTACCTTACGTTGCCCTCCGTCCTCGTCGCGCGCCACCGATCCGACCGACCTCCCCGTCAGTACTACGAACCCCCCGTCGTCCCTCCGCTGCGGCTCCCCTCGAGTCAGCATCGTGGGGTGGCGCTGCTGTTGCCGCCATCGTCGCCCGCCGCCGACGCCGCCGCCGCCGCCGCCGCCGCTGCCGACGGTTCGTGCCGGAGCGAGGGATGGCTGCGCAACCCCTCGAGGGTGCCGATGCTAGTTCCTGCAGGCCTTTCGATTGTGTGCGTCCTCGCGCGCGCGCGTACATCGCCATTGGCGCGGGCAGAGTTCGCTGGCACCGAATCAAACCGTTCGCTTTCTGGCGAGGCGTAATAGTAACAGTAACAGTAACAGTTGCTTCGACATTTCCCCTTCGACCAGAGTTCCGGTATCGAGAGGGTAGCATTATGCAGTATTAATATTTTAGATACAGATTCTCTCATACAAGGAATTACAGTAGTGGTAATCGTATGTTTGGAACATCCAATTAATTTTGATTAATTCGTGTTCGTGGGAAATTTAAATCGACCCATCGTGGATGGAGGCTATCGAACCCCGACGGGGATGCACGGCAGTCCTCGTGGCGCGGTTCGGAGCCCGTGTCGAATGTAGATATCGAGAACGGAAGAGGGAACAGCTGGCTGGGGTGCCACGGGCACCGGCCTCGTTCCTGGCCTCGCGACGAGTGTGTAAACTCCCGAGGGGGAGGTCGATGGTAATTCCTATGGAAGATTGGCTGCATAGTGGTGACGCTGTGTCGCCGATACGCGACGCGGACTTGTTGGTAACGCGTTGTCGGTGTTGGTGGGCGACGAAGGAGGAGGGGGGAGGGTGGCGGCACACGTTGGGGCGAACGCCGAGGGGCCAGCTCCTATCTCCCCTTCGGGCGAGAAGGGGGGAAAAGTCGAGGGTGGAGGAGCCAGAAACGAGAATGTCGGCTAGGTAGAGGGATGTAAAGGTCCGCGAGGGTTAGGAGAGTGTTGCAGGAGAGAGAGAGAGAGAGGGGGGAGGTCGCACATGCGCCAACGATCGGCATCGACCCGACGTCTAGGCAACACCTGGTAGCGCCCCACGTGCCACGTTAGGGTGGCACCAGCCACCCCGCGCACGCGATCCCTCGTATCGAATATCACGCTGGCCTTCCTGTCCTGTCTACTGACCCACGCCAACGATGTCTTTCATCGTTTCTCTCTTGGAGAACACCTAATGGGACGGACGAAACCGGACTGTTACAAGGCGGTTTCGGTAATGGCCGGGCGCCTTCGACACTTTCGGGGCACGCGTCCATCGCGAAAAGTAATGTTCGAATCACGGATCACGAATTTATCGAGCTGTTTAAGGGACGAAATTCCCATTTTTGTTGCTCGTTGGGGGAATAGAAAATATCTACGTGCATCTGTTCATCCTGTATGTATGTACACTATAGCTATGTATGTACTTATAAAGGTTGATCGAAACTGATCTCAAAGTAAAATAAATTTATTGTAGGTAGTTTTATTTTTTTACATAACCACCACTCAAGGGGATGTCAGTCTAAAAGGCCAATTTTTAAACTTTTTTCGAGAATTTTTTTATAGATGGTATCAGACTATATCTAGTTAAACACTTCAGTGTAAGATATAATTAAAATATTAAGTTTTCTTAACAGGTAGCCCGATTTCGCGAGTTGTGAGTCCCGAGCAAAAAATGAATTACCCTTGTACGGATTCTTACCAACCGTCGCGAGCAACTTTCCTCGCAGCCAGTCACGTTAAAAACCGCAAATGATCGACCACAATGTCTCCCGCAAGGAAAGAGCCCGGTGATCGTCGCGCGACAATATCGAAATTGGTTCCAGTCCTATTTTGCGGGACAGATGTTCCCTGCTTGTTTCACGGAACCTCCTCATCGCCCGTGTCCCATTTACCGACTATTGTCGTTCTTCCAGCGGCGGTGCAAACTTTCTAAGTGGCGTCGCGTAATAACCACGCCATATGACAAAACCGTGCCGCAACAGCTGATGCGTTAGCGGCTGCCTCTCAATTTGCAAGATCGATGGGCGAAATGTGTTCATCGAGGCCCCGTCTCCTACGTCTCCTCTAATTAGAAAGGTCTTTGTTTGCGTATTAAGGGCGAAACGAAACAGTAGGATTTCTAAAATCGAAACTGTTTGAACATCGGCGACGGAGGTGACCGATAATATTCTAATTGCTCCCGAAATATTTAAAATTTGTCCAGATACAATTATTATACTTGACATATCAGAATACCAATTTTGCTATTATGCCATGGTGTATAATTATTTTGAAATAGTAAAGTGTATTTTAAAGTCCAATTTTTATATCGATTCACGAGACCAATCGTTTTATTGTGGATTGAGAGTCTCTGTAATCGAGATTGTTCGGTAGTCCCCACCCAACAAAGCATTATCTAATTAATGTAATTTTAAACAGTTTGCGTCTGGCTTCGGGTTAAGTTCGGTTTAGCTACTGATATTGCTTCATCGCTTCTAATCTGTGTGTCTCAGACGTTGTACTTTGAGTAGTACTTAGCCAAGGTTGCGTCGAATTAGGGAAATTTGCACGATGGCAAGATTAACGAGGATTATATTTTAGCATCCCATGAGACCAGAGCTGAAAACATAATTCGATCCCTATATTAAAATATGTTTTCCAGATATTTCTCAACTATCTATATCAAATTTAAGATACTATAGAAATTCGATACCAATTCCACCATATTTTTCATCCAAGCTACTTTCACAGCGCTCCTTATACCAAAGTATGTTTTCCATCTTTCTCTCAATTTTTTCAACTATAAAATAGCATAGAAATTCAACACCAATTCCAGAATATTTTTCATCCAAGCCTATTGCTTTGAAGAACACTGAAGAAGTATACTAAAATTGGGTGGAGAATATATCGACGAGAATGTCTTTAGTTTCACGTGGTTTTTACTTTTCAGTCTGATATAATATTTTGAAAAAACGGTTGCTATCATTTTATGAAACGGAGGTCGTTTCAATCTTGTTTCGTTACAAAGGGACCGTAACCCTTTAATCGTAGCCAACGACGCGAACGCATTTTGCCCAGGGTATAATCCCCGGCTCTCGTCCAATTCTGCTAACTCCTTTCTCTAGACGGCTAAACTCGTCGTGGCTGGTAATAGCCCCGTTTAATTTACCTGGGAAAGAGTCGCGAGCTCTGTTTCATTTACCGGCCGCTATAACCGCGTTAATTCCGATCTCGATTACACGGCGCTTTACATCGGCTCCCTGCGTTCCTCCTCGCGCCGTTATCTCGCCGCGCATTCATCTTTCCGGCGTATCTAATCAATCGCTAATTAAACGGCGGCGCGAGCCAAGTCTTATTACGCTATTCCCCGGCTCGGCCGTGATTTAACCGACCTCCGCGTGTATGCATCCTTGGCAGTGCGCCTCCCCCTGTCACGCCTACACGCTCTTGGACGACCTAATCTCGTTTATTGACCCGCCACACGGCCGCCGGTATTTTTCCTGATTCCCCACCTGCCCTTTGCGCGCGTGTGCCGTCCGCGATGATAAAATAAATCCCTCGAAAGGTGCAACTACGCCTATCGTCCACGTTCCGCGATGGTAAATTCCTTTTAATTCGTTTAAAAATTATGCAAGATATCCTATCATCTCCCTTACCACCCTCGAGAAGCAAGAAATTCTTAATTTCAGCATAAAAATAATTTGCAAGACATGTTGCACAGAAAACATAACAAGGTTGTGTCAAATTATAAAATCCCTTGCACTCTGTAGGGGTTGAAACATGGAATAGCAAAAGCAAATTGTGCTAAGAAATAAAAGGGATTTAGCGATCGAGTTTACAAAATCCTGCGCTGGCGTTCCAAAAATAAATATCGGAGCCCCCAGACCGGAATTAAGGATTCCTGAGCGTTATGTAAATTACATTTCCGAGTATCTTGGACGATCTAGATTAGATCTGTCCAAAGTCGGCGTAAATAATGAGCGTATTCCCCAAGAATCTTCGAGGAAAAATTGATTTTCCGACGCGGCTGTGGACACTGGCTCAACGAGAAATTGGCTCGACTCGAAGCAGAGATCTTCCATCCTTGTTGCCCTATCCGCAGAACTCTTAACACCGGTTCTCCTTCTTAGCTCGTCAATCTCGTCCGTTCCAATTTTTCATACCACTCTCGCTGACTCTCGTCTCACTCGTTCGCAGTTATCTATTTATACTCCACTTCAATATACTTTTAAATTCCCAGGCCTTATTTTCCTACCTTTATTCTCATTATTACGTCCCCTCGTCCTACCCGAAATTCGTTATCCCCCGACTACTCGGCTTTCAAATGTGCC